TGTTAAAACTAGTGCAATCAGTGTACAGACGCGTAAAAGTCGAGCGGCTATTGATGATGAACCTCGTAGCACAGGGGTGCCAAATGGACACTTGGAGGAGAGCGCGGCTTTCAGATACCACTGAAAACAGCGGTTGACCGGCGCCTTCCGCGGACAACACTGCCCGCTAGACTGGCGGGCGTCGCGCAACAGCAGCGGCGCATGTGAAACGAACGTGCGTCCGCGCGTCCTCCCGCCGCTCGTCACCGCGACCGCCGCCGCTCGTTCGCTCGCATGTGAAACAGGCTTTAGGGCTGCTCTTCACTTTTGGAGGTAGTGCTTCAGCCACTAAGACTGCTGCGTAGAACCTCGTCTTTCCAATTGTATCAAAAATACCTATTCTACTACATGCTTGCAAGTGTTCACAGGGCTGACTCCTGGTAGGACACAGCGATGACCCTCTTGACTATCTCTGAGTGGCCAGAGACATGTGGTAGAAGCTTCTTTCGTGCCCGAGTAGAACACATCCCACATGTGTTACCCTTACTAAACCGCAAATCGACATCTAAAAACAAATCAGTTGCACTGGGACAGCTCTGCCATGAGCGAAAGGTCACTTCCATACTGTTCAAGAAGGTTCACCAGTATGTCCACCCTGTTGCAATATTCAACTGTACTATTAACGCTTGAAATAACAAATTGTCCATGTGTCTACGATTTTTTCAACTTCTTTCTTAACACAAGCTGTAAGGCAATGTTTATTGTTAGGACAAAAAATGTCGCATAAAATTGGCGCCCCGAGTGACCCGTAGTAGATTCTCTTATCTTGCAAGAATCGTAGCTCGCTAAAAGAGGTAAATGGGCTGCTGAAGTAACCGTCTAAAATAATTTAAAGCATTAACGATGAGTACAGTGTTGTTTCGAAAAAGAATTAGCTTCCTTCGATGCGCGTTTTCACGGTTTTCAAGGAGGAGTTCTGTCTGTCATATGTATGATTTCTGTTTATCTTCTGTAGCGCTAATATGACCATGTTACCCGTTTACTGAAGCGGTATTGCCCGTTGCAACTCCTCTCGTCCTATAGGGTGAAAGAAAATATGAACGACGCTTTTTTTACTCTTATTTTTCTGTAGCCGGAAAGACAGAGCAGTACACAGAACATATTCGGCATGGTTTTTCAAGACACCACAAATCATTCGTTGCGTTCAAAAAGGTAACAAGCGCACACAGCTTCGCACACTCGCGAGAAAACACGGCGCCAACATGCCATGTCGTCGTCTCGCTGGCCTCGACGAGCGCCTCCTTAGTCAGTGACAGTGCGGCACACAGCATATGTCTTCGGCATCGTTTGGCAAGGAGCCACTAGCTATTTGTCGCGTTCGAAAATGATACCAGGCTAAGGTAGCACCACGCACTCAGAATAAAATAAGATGCCAGTAGAGCACAAATACCATGCCATCATCTCTGACCCTAATCACAGATGGGGCCATGACTCGGCAGAAGATGGGAGCGCACAAAGCTTTATCATACAGTGACGGAGAAGTTTCGTGACTAGAAATAACTACTAAGGAACAATGTTTACACTATAGTTATGTGCTTACCTGGCATGCATTCAATGGTTCGTGCACAACCAGTCAAATAGGTTCCTACTACTCCTTCTGCGGCCGCTAGGTTAAAGAAACTATGCCTATTGCGTCATGCTTCAACACAGCTGCAGGACGCAATGGTTTGATCACAGATCCATCTAAGTAGACGCTATAATAAGCATGATGCCATGTGCACAAGTATAAAAAAGAAGTGTGTTACCTCCGCGACCTCAATATGCCTGCAATGTTGGCGTTGTGTCGTGATATTATGGGCATGCCTAAGAAAGAGCACAAGTGTCCAAGGGGTTCTCTTCCAGGAATCGGGGTAAAGGGGGGGAGGGAGTGGGGGCAATCCAGGCCAGAGCCTCTGTGACATTTTATGTCATGCATACATAGCACTGATGACCTTTGCTTGTCCGACCCCTCTTATGATCAAGGAGGCACCCACCTCCCATAAAAATTTAGTACATCCCTGCAGTCAAGGAGAGGGGGATGGATGGGTGGTTGGGTTTGGATGGATGGGTGGGTGGGTGGGTGGATGGGTGGGTGGGTGGATGGATGGGTGGATGTGGCTGTACCCTTTAGATCGGGTGGTGGCTCGCGCCACCAAGCCGTAATACTTAATGATCCAAAAACTAGATTTATTTTGGTTCCCCTAAATAATCAGGTTGAGGGTTCATACTTTGCAGTGAAGGCTTTAATTTTCACTCGTGCCATGACTTTAGCCGCCAATCAGATAACCTCTTTCTAGTTACTTCTACCCGCTTAAAGTCTATTTTGCTCTCCCTGTCCATAAACTCCAGTGCTTTAAAAAACTCTGCGCCATCATCCTGAACTATAGGGTGAAGCTCTTTACAGAACATTATCAAGTGTTCGGCACTTTCCTCTTCCTCTCCACACGCACTGCATACCCTGTCTACCCCTTCGTATTTGGCCCGATATGTCTTGGTTCGCGATACTCCTGTCTTGGCCTCAAACAGTGGAGAACTACCCCGAGTATTATCATAGATCCTTTCCTTGGCAATTTTCTGCTTAAAAGTTCGATAGATCTCTAGTGCGGACTTCTTAATCATGCCAATTCTCCAGATATCGATCTCAGCTTCCTTCACCTTCGTCTTAACCGATAATTCTTTTTGGTTTGGCTCCCTGCTGTCTTCCAAGTATTTACCAGTCAATTTTCTGGTTCGCTTCTGCCGTTTTGTATCGACATTCTTATGTACAAGTAGCTGAATATCTTCCTAGCCCAACGCTCCTCCCCCATTTCTCTCACTCTCTTCTCAAATTTTATTTTGCTGCTAGCTTCTCTGCCCTCAAATGATGTCCATCCCATATCACCTTGTGCTCCCTGATTTGGTGTATTCCCGTGAGCTCCTAAGGCAAGCCTACATATTCCACTTTGCTTAATTTCTAGTATTGCTTGAAGTTCTGATCTCATGCACAAGACCTCATTGCCGAACGTTAGACCAGAAACCATGACCCCTTTCCATATGCCTCTCACAACATCATACCTATTGTAACTCCACAGTGCCCTGGTTTTCATTACCGCTGCATTCCTGTTACCTTTATTCGACACGTATATTTCGTGTTCCCTTAGGTACTCGGCCCCATTGATTATCCATACGCCCAGATATTTGTATTTATCTGTTATTGGTAGCGTGACCTCTTGTATTCTAAGCTCTCTACCTTCATTGTCATTATAAATTATGACCGCTGATTTTTTCTTACTGAATCTGAAATCTAACCTATCTCCCTGAATACCGCAGATGTCCACCAATGTCTCGCAAATCTTCCTTGTTGTCGGCCATTAGCACTATATCATCTGCGTATATCCATGCTGGTAGTGCTTGTTCAATGAGTTTTTCTTGTTTGACAATAGAGAGGTTGAAGCCCAGTCCACTTCTAATTTGGCCTCAAATCCTTGTAGGTACATTTTGAAAAATAAGGTTGACAGGGGACACCCCTGTCACCTTTATTACACAGCACACACGGGAATGATGGGCGAAAGTGAATAAGTAAACAGCACTAACGCTGGTGTTAATTGAATTTTTTTCTCTCTGGAACGAAACATCTGGATTTATTGCCACCACGTGGCTGAAATAACGCCATACTAAAAATACAACATATAGAGGTCACATCGTTTTCTCTTTCCTGGATACACTATCTATTGCAATAAGTGTTACAGATAATCGAATTCAATGTCACTCAAGTTGACTGACGGCAATCCGATGACTCTCCTTATGGTATGGATGGCTTCAACAGTGTCTTTGGCTACCTGCTGTCTGTGATGTGTTAAAATGACTGTGCTCAAGGGGAGGGGATATGCCACACTCGAGACAATGACCTGCTAGGCTGTACATGGTCGATCTTCACTTAATGTGCGTTCATGCTGTTTTAGTGTGCTGTTAATGCATGGGCCGTTCTGTGCTAAGTAGCTTTTGCCGCAGGAGAGTAGTATCGAACCAACCCACCCAATAAGGACCTGTTCTAAAGTGTGCCTTTTTTTGATTAACAAAGCTTCTTTTAATAGGCATCGTAACAACGAAACCACCAGACATAATTAACGGGTAGTAAATTGAGCTAAAATGCTACTTTAAACCAGTATCTCCACTATCTTGGGCGCAGGAGTCGTTTGGTGCCCCAATTTGCAAAATATTCTACAATTCGGGCCTTGCACGATCCAGAACTTCCAGAAATTCTATTACACGTGCACCTATATAATATTCCTGCATTGGCTAGGTATTCATTTTCTTACAACATTATGCGATAGTTCATGTCGTGTTACTTTTCTATACCGTTTCCTTAAGCTGTCGTGATAATTGACATGTTCTCGAAAACAAAACAACAAAAAATGTGGTAGGCATGAAGAAATACGGCAAGTTGGGCTAGTCTGGCATCAATCTTTATCATTCAACTTGGTTACTGCGACAATCAAATACTTACTATTTCTTTTATGAATTTGTTCAGCCTGCTAAAATTTACCTAATCGTTCATGCAATATTTTTAATGAATTTATTGCTTTTACAAGCTTACAACAGAACGAGCCATGGTATTGATCATTTTTGTTACTAAACCACTGTAGAGGCCTGGTTTCGTAGTTCAGTCATGATTTTTTAGAAAAACATTTACCACCAAGGAGAAACCTATATATACATTCACGGCAGTGGCTCATTTGACCTGCTAGTACATCTTATTGAAGGATGATGGCTAGTGCCAGTAGCAAGAAGACACCATGACGGAGAGAACTAGCTTCAAGCTCAGCTTCGCTCTCATACGAACAGATTATATCCTCTAAGGCGCCGCTTTAAATATCCTGTGTCAAAACAAGGAAAGCTAACACACGGGGTGTTCCAATATAGCCCCGCTTGGGGAAGAGCCTAGAAAAACCCGTGACGAGTTCTTTTCCTCCCACATGTGCTTCCCCTGCTCGTTTTTCTAGGCGCAAGTCGAAGCAGCAGTGCTCGCCGAACGATGATGCTCGGTTTACTTTTCTCATTCTGCATCGTGCTTCTGTGGTATTGGTAAGTCTGAACCATTTAACTGACTTTTTGTCCAGGATGGTAAACTTTCCAAACAAATTTTGCGTTAGATGCGATAAGAGATCATTCAGTGCGCAAGACATAAATACTATTTTAGGTTGACCAGATGCAGAAAATCACTGTTTTGCTTTGCCTTTCTGCCGAAATACTAAACACTGTACAAGCAAGAAACATTCTTTTCTTGGAAGTTGCTAGAAAAGGGGAACAATTCTTGCATATAGTTATGAATTGAGGTGTTGTTTCAATGAACTCATTTTGTAGCAGTCTATTCGTGTAATCACTCATGATCTCTACGAGAGCCAGCAAAGGAAATGCTTCAAGTATGCTTTTGTGTGCATGGGTCATAGGTCGATAAAGCTTTCAGCAACATTTGACTTTTTTATTAGTGAAATTGTATCCAGAGAATGCCGTATCGGAATAAACCTAATATTAATTAGGTCAGGACGTGAACGCATAAGGGCTCACAAATTTGGAATATTTTTCTTTTAAAGGTTTATGAAATTTTATTTGCAGGCTATAAAGCACCTGCTTCCTGTATACAAGGTCACCAAGCACAAATTGTACCCACTGCAAATGCGATAGAAACCCGCCGCTAGCGCTACTGCTACCGACGTCACTGTGTGGAAAACTAAACGAAGGTGATTCACATTACACCGCATTAGTGATTTGCAATGAGCGATGACGGTGACACCGCTGAACCATGGAAGCCAAGGGAGCACTTTTTTAAGCATATACTAGCGAACTAGCTAAGCTTACGGGCATTATGCGAAGTGCTTCACACTGTCCAGCTAACCTGCGAAGGTGACATTTTAGAACGTCACTTTGTTCTCCAACCGAATGGCGCAACCATACCGTTTTACCCAGGCGTGAATGAGGAGTTTCAGTATATACGAAATTCAGCAAATGCCAGAATTTTCAGTGAACATTGCGTGCTCAAAACAACGCATGCACAGAATGTAAACGCAGTTAAGCCCTCGCATACGTGCGTATTTCTGCAATATCGCGCTCAGGCCAAGCGAACGTAAGGAGTCACGTACGCAAAGAGAGATGGCGACGCCGGTTGAAACTAGAATTGTCTACTTCGATTTTTTCGCGAGGTCAGCCTGGGAAAGTTTTCTTTACTCGCAAAAATGGCCTTATTTGGTCTATAATTAAGTAATTATGTTTCGCCAGCTATATACGGCGATACAGATACTGCTGCTTTTGAGATACTTCCCAATAGCGATGCAGAACGCCTAATAAACTTGACTTGTAAGGTTTGCTCATGTTTGCTGTAGTCGTGCAGAGATGGTGACATTGTCTCCATTCACCTGTTTCGAGTTCGGCAGCAACTCGTGGGATCTAAAAAAAACGTGGATAAACCTCCTTCTGGCTGGCGACAAAAGTGATCAGGAATAGCTTAAACCTTGGGCAACCCCCACTTCAGGAAATTCCCGAGGCATAACTTATTTGGTGTCATGGCAGTTAAAAACGGACAGCAACACGTTAAAGAACCCAAGGTGGTCGAAATTTCCGGAGCCCTTCACTACAGCGTCTCTCATAATCATATGGTGGTTTTGGGACGTTAAACCCCACAAATCAATCAAAACCGGACAGCAAGAAGAGGGTTACTGACGATGAGTAACGACACGTACACAAGGCGAACGCTGTGTACGCCCTGCGTCTTGTATACGTGTCGCTTCTTCACGTCTGGTTCCTAGTTTCTTGTTAGCGCTGTTTCACTTAATGAATGAACTAGCACAAAAACTGATCTTGACAACGTAATAGGGGCCTTGAATAGAATCGATCGTGGCCCACCAAAAGAAGGCTATGCGATTCGGGTACTCAGGCACAACACGAAACCAAACGAGGCACGAAGGTAACTTAAACGCGTCTATGGCGACATTTGATCAGCCCTAATCATTGACAGGCTTTAGGAGTCTATCATGAATTTAGGGTTTTTTTGTCCTAACATCAACGTATGTCTTTGCGTTACGCTTAGCAAGAGTGCTTCCCACAGTACTAAAATATCACGAAAAGACAGAGATGTACGCTACCTCCAACCAACGCGTTTTCCAATATTCTTAAGCTCCCAATGTTTGACGCGAAATCCATGAGGTTACCAGGAGGTGCGTCGATGAGCCAGGCAAGCACTTATTCATTTTCGCTGACTCTGCATTCTAGTAAAGTAGGAAGTCGGGGAGTTGGTGAGAAAAAAGTCGGGGCTTGACTTTTTCTTGCGAAGTGCCAAAGAACGGGCAGCTGCGTTTTTCGGATTTGCAGCTGTCGATCGAACAGAAACAAGTGTGCTCGATGTTTTCCCCAGAGATAGCAAAGCCGCTTCTAGATCACAGATCGGGGCCTTCCCGTCTGATGAAAAATGACATTGCATGGACGAGTCTAATATGTGCTTGGATAGGTCATGCCAACATCTTGTGCAGACAAGGTTTTTTTTGCACACATGAAAAGACACCAAGTTTTCTGATAATGCCATAGCAGGGACTTGCAAAAAATAGATTTATTAGGCAATGGCCTGCGAATCTTCCAGCGAAAAAAATGACCAATTTTGTGTTGATCACGAGCACATGAAAGTTCCAGAGGCGGGCTGGATCAGCCCAGTGACGGGAGTGCACGTAAGAGACGACACGGAGCCGAGCTGTGACGATGCTGACAAGAGTCAACACATGGCGACGAGAAGGCGATTTGAAGCCATTGGGGCATACCTGTAGAATCTGCGAGAAAATGGGTGTAGCAAGATGACGTTTGATGTTGCGCCATCGTAGATGATTCCCGATTTCTCGATGGCGCAGTGCCGTGTTCTGTCACGTAGATAGTGGTGTAGGGCCCGCTTGTCTTAGTGCTACAAGTCTGTGCGTAAGTATACGAGAATTCATGTGTGATGGAGTGGAATGGAAAAACATTTCGACATTCGTGTGCGATGCTTCGAATAATTTTGAAGTTGGATGGACATGTTGGATGCACAGAGAATGCCGAAGTGCCTCTTCCTCTGTACTGTTGCAGTGGTTGCAGTATCCACTATCAACTACATGTGGTTATATCCTCAGACGACAGAGATACGCAAATCCCTAGGACTAGGCCGTGCCTTTTTCGTGGATTAAACTGTGGCAGTGTCGGAGTAGTTTTGAACGGAAGGAATTTCCTGCACTTTCGCTTGTATCTTCTAGCACACTGACGCGACTTGGCCTTTGATATGGCAAATTCGGCAAGTTTTCCTATTGCCCGGGCGGTTTCTTGAAGTCGCGACATGCCCAAGCTTGTCGCTGAGCAAGCAGGGACCAACTTGAGGCTTAGTAGCAGGTTTATCTTCTTTTTTGCCGCGAACAACGTCCTAAGAACCATCGACGAGCCCACGTAGCCATCTTGGATGCCCCTACACGACTTTAGAACGAAGCCGCTACCAGGCTGAGCCAGACGAGAAGCGGGCGAAGCTAGCGACCCGCCAATTTGTGCAGTTGTGGCACCAGGTGCAACGCGCTGGATGCTGTGGATTCGCACTATGGATACTTGTGCGCAAGTATCCAAAGTGCGAATGCAAAACTGAAGTATAGTACGTTCAAATGAATTTCACGTTTTTGTCGATAAAATTACGTGAGGCGTAATCTTCGTCTCTACTTTGAACTATATGATCTGAAGCAGTGCCTCCGAGATGCGGCGCACAGCAATTTATTTGTAAAGCAGACGATGAATGACAACTTGTCCTAAAGCGTGTTCTTCAGTCTAATGCGGCAGTCTTCATGCCCCGAATGATAAAAAGTTGTTATGAATTGTTTATGAACTCATTCAACATTCAATTCTCTTACCCAACGTGTTGCAAACACATGGCCATCACAGCAGCTCCATCTGTGTGTCAGTAATGGAGAGGCACCACATATTGGAAGTCTCAGTGCTCTACTATAAGAGTGAATTGAGATACTGTAGAATACCGTGTTCAGAATAGTTACTCCTTTCTGCTAAAACAGCCTTTCTTCACCAAATGCGGTCACGTTTACTCGCGTTTGAAGCTTATTGCCACTTTTCCATTCTGATTTCAAGATTTCTCAACTTATAAGCGCATTCTCTAAAAGCTCTGATTGTACCACGAATATTGTCACTAAAAACAAAATGATGCAGCATGTTTTTATATATTGCTGTATGATGGCCTTCGGTTGTCTATTTACGAGATTTTAGGAAAAATCAAAGATGGGGTTTTTTAATTATTCAAATTTCAGTGGAGTACAGTTTTGCCTATATAAGAATTTTGAGGCAATATATAAAATTTTACATTTGCCCTACGGCAGCAATAGTTTATGTACCTAATTAACACACTATATCCTTAAAACATGTCAAGTTTGAAAACGCTGCTCGCTTTACTTTCGGAGAAAAACAATGGGGAATACGTAACTTATTTTAAACTGTCGCAAAACTAGACCTTTTTAAAAGCTATTTTCTTAAGGTCTACAAACTCGAAACCGTATGAATTCAATTTTCATTAGACATGCATTTAGGGTAAAAACTATCTTCCTTTAAACAAAAATATTTGTCTTTTTATAGCATCTGCAATTTTCGAAAATGACAGTTGACGAAATTGGTGCCTTCGAGTTGGTGAAGTTTGATATTTTTTTTTTCTCGTAAGTTATGCCGTTAATCATAAAACGAAGTTGACTTTCGGGCTACCTGGTGAGAGGTGCATGAAATATAAAATACTCAATGAAATCTAAAATATCAACTTTTCGACCCATGTCGATCTCTCGTAGAATCACCCGGTGACAATTTTTCTTGTAGGCTCTTTGTGGTACGAGCCGCCTATGTGGTGCTTTTACGCCTTAGGCTGTAGCATTGCGGAGCAGGCTCGTGCTGAACAGGGGCCGTATAGCATTACATCACTACTCCATGCTTTTATTTTGTGATGACAGGCCGATGCAGCTACAGGTGGGAACGAGCCAACTTTTTATCGACCGGTGAAAGCGTGTGCTGCTTCCGGAAAGTCATTTTGTTTCATCAAA